GAAGGTGTCCCTGCTGATGGCAGGGGGGTTGGAACTGGATGAGCTTTAAGGTCCCCTCCAACCCAAACTATTACGTGATTCTATGAGCCCCACGAAACTCTGCAGGGCTGTGGTTACTCCTGAGCACCATCACACACATGTTTGCAGGAGTGGGGCCTGACTCCTAAGCTTATATGCCCCCAACCAGAGCTGCAGTGGATGGAGATGGCCAAAAATAAGTAAATGCAATTAAGTGTTTTGCCTGAGCGTGGGCAACAGCATTTTTCTTTTGTTGCATCAGACACCAGCTGCTGTCAGAGGAGAGGCAGAGGAATCGTTTGTGGGTGATGTGATGTGGAACCCACACTAGGCTGGAGATACAGAGGACAGGACAGTGTTAAACACCAAGAGAAAGAGCAAAAGCAGAGAGATGGGACCTGTCAAAGAGTCCCAGGGCGAGACAGCACCAAGAGCAAAGTCAGAGCAAACCGTGAACCAGGTTTCAAATCCCACTTCCTCTCGCAACCCAAAGCCTCTGATAACAGTCAAAATATTTTCACGTTGCTTCCTCATTCTAGCAGATGGCAGTTTTCATACCCAAGAGTGACATTTTGCAGCCAATTCTCTCTCTCTGCTCTTTCTCCCTTACCAGCTCTCGGGTAAGGCCGGGTGTTTATTTTAGGTTGCCCAAGGAAGTTGTAGATGCCCCCTCCCTGGAAGTGTTGAAGGCCAGGCTGGATGAGGCTTTGAGCAACCTGGTCTAGTGGAAGGTGTCCCTGCTGCTGGCAGGGGGGTTGGAACTGGATGAGCTTTAAGGTCCCTTCCAACCCAAACCATTCTGTGATTTTCCTTTGTTTGCCACAGGGGAATCTGGCTGCTGAGTTTGATGGAGCTGCTTTAGCCACAAAAGGCAGAAGGGAAGATGGGTCTCTGCAAATGGTTATTTTAATTTTGCAGATGCATTAAGACTGGAGATAGGACCCTTGCTGGAGGGTTTGACGTTGTGCACGTTCACAATGACTTTGTTTCTCTCCTAAGGGTCTGCAGCGTCTGGATCTGTGATGAGGACATGCAGTTTATTCAGCAGCTTGTATATCTCTAGATATGCATGTCAGAATTTAGGGAGGCAAGGCAAAATTTGGACTCTGGGGCATTCCTATAAGGGAATGGTGTGAAAAAGGGGCAACACTTCCTCTCCTTAGTTCTAATGTACAGCCAGTCTGTTCTGGCTCCTTGGAGCTGATGGAGAAAGACAGGCTGATTCCTCCAACTTACTCTATACCTCAGCTTCAGGATAAGGCAAAGCCCAAGCAAGACCATCCCTGGCTATGCAGCACTGCAGTATAGCATCATAGAATGGTCTGAGTTGGAAGGGACCTTAAAGCTCATCCAGTTCCAACCCCCCTGCCATCAGCAGGGACACCTTCCACTAGACCACGTTGCTCAAAGCCTCATCCAGCCTGGCCTTCAACACTTCCAGGGAGGGGGCATCTACAACTTCCTTGGGCAACCTGTTCCAGTGTCTGACCACCCTCACAGTGAAGAACTTCTTCCTAATATCTCATCTAAACCTCCCCTCTTTCAGCTTAAACCCATTTCCCCTTGTTCTGTCATTAACTGCCGCTATGAAAAGTCCCTCCCCAGCTTTCTTGTAGCCCCTTCAGGTACTGGAAGGCCGCTAGAAGGTCTCCCCAGAGCCTTCTCTTCTCCAGGCTGAACAGCCCCAACTCTCTCAGCCTGTCCTCATAGGAGAGGTGCTCCAGCCCTCGGATCATCCTGGAGGCCTCCTCTGGACTTGTTCTAGCTGCTCCATGTCTCTCTTGTGTTGGGGAGTACTCACCCTCTCTTGCCCTATATCTCCTTTAGCCAGAACTTGGCTGGAGGCTGGGCACGTTGGGGTGGGAATGACAGGGAGGTTTTATGGATGTGTTTATACTAAGACTGTTTGATTTCCCGGTCTAGGTGCACAGACAAGAGCTACATTCCAACCGCATCTCCTTCACTGCAGTGCCAAGATATCTGCTGTCTCCAGATGATGATCTCCAGGCTTTATGCACAGGTTTTGCCCTGTGCAGAGGTGTAAGTACAGACTCTGAAGTGCTTTGTGTGTCCTAAACTCCTCTGCCCTGTCTGCTAACCTACATAATGTACTTTACACCTCTCCCAGCGTTCGCTCTGATATAACCCAAGCAAGAGGGCTTGGACCCCTGCTCACTATCTCCCAGAATCACACAGAATCCCAGAATTACCTAGATTGGA